CATCTGGAGTATTGTGTCCAGTTCTGGTCGCCTCATTACAGGAAAGATGTGGAAGCATTGAAAAAGGTGCAGAGGAGATTTACCAGGATGTTGCCTGGAATGGAGGGAAGGTCTTACGAGGAAAGGTTGAGAGAGCTAGGGCTTTTCTCTTTAGAACGACGAAGGTTGAGAGGTGACTTAATAGAGGTGTACAAAATGATCAGAGGTATAGATAGAGTGGATAGCCAGAGACTTTTTCCTCGGGTGGAGGTATCTATTATGAGGGGGCATAGTTTTAAAGTGAGTGGAGGTAGATATAGGGGAGACGTCAGAGGTAGGTTCTTTACTCAGAGAGTCGTAGGGCGTAGAATGCATTGCCGGAGAGGGTAGTGGAGTCGGCCTCATTCGGGGCATTTAAGCGGCTATTAGATAGGCAAATGGATGATAGTATAAGGTAGGGATGGAGGTTAGATAGACCTTAGGATTAGGGTAAAAGTTCGGCACAACATGGTGGGCCGAAGGGCCTGTTCTGTGCTGTACTGTTCTATGTTCTATGTTCTACGTTCTATGTTCTACGTTCTATATTCTACGTTCTATGTTCTAAGTCACCCTTTTTCATCTGGAGTTCTCCTGCCAGCTTGTGTTACTGGTGGTTTGTACTGACTTGACACCTTCTCACAGTCACCCATTACCACCCTGTTTTATCATGTCTCCATCACCTATTGTTTTTAAATGCAGAATGCTGCAGATGCAAGAAATCTGGAGTGATAAAATGCTGGAAATACTGAGCAGGTTTAGCACCATAAGTGGTGAGATAGAATACATGCTTCAGGTTGACAATGACCTAAAGCATATAACTCTGTCTCTCTCCCTCTCTCCACAGACACTACTAAACTTGCTGAATTTTACCAACGTTCCCTGAGCATGTCTGTCTGTCTGTCTACCGACCTACTAACCAAAGATGTAGTTCAGCTACAATTCCTAACACTCATTATGAGCTCTGAGAAAAAATGAGGTGTCATTTCACACGATACCTTAAAAATTAATTCTGGTATCGTTCCCATTAAAAAATGTTCTGTTTATTCATTGTGCATTGACTTCCAATTACACATTTGAGAAGTGCAGAAATACATACTTATAATCCAGGATGAACTTTCTGTGTAGCAGTGACCATGGTCTTTAGTCGGCTGAAACTAATCCTGCTTTATGTCGCTAAAATCAACACAAAATGTTTAATTTAGAAGGGCTACCAGCCACTTCAGCTATCACAGAGCTATTCAAAAGGTCACATTAAATCATGTGAAGTGTAGAGGGATTATAGTGATTCCAGAGGCAGACGTATGCATTGATCTCAAGAACAATC